AGGCATTTCTGGAGAAGCAACAACCTGCCGGAATCCTCCCACCAAGCTCCCAAATGTTATGTGAAAACCTTGCTAGTCTCTAAGTGACCATCCTTGCATTCTGATTACATGCCCTCCAATTTCTAAGGCTCTAAACATCAATATAATGCAATTCTTGTGTCATTCCAACCCTCCAACATACCAAAATCTCCCATGTCTATGCCCTCAGCAGGTTTTCAAAACTACAATTTCATTTTGTGTGTGTGTGTAGCCAGGTCAATAATGAAAATATTTAATAAGATCTATCCTAGTATAACCTTCAGAGTAATCACCTACTAGACTACTCATTACTTTTTTTAATGCCCTTTGCTAAACCTGAGAGCCTGATTTTTATCAGTCGTCAGTAGAGCCTAACACTTCTTGTTCACTGAAAAGAGACAAATTTCCCTCTGATCAATATTTCCCCCCATTTTTTAGGCTGTCTGTTCACACCTATCCTTCTTTTTAAGGTGGTTACTCATCATCTGAGGTCCACGGCACTTTCCTTCTAAGGTTTTTAATCTCATGAGCCAGATGCTTAGGCTGTGCTCTGCAGGCCCTTGTTAACCTTCAAAGAGAACACACACTTCTTCGCATGAAGATGTGCTTTCCCCAGCAGTCATTGGCAAGAAGCCAACAAAAAAGATCTAGAAAAGCTCTTATAGCTGTTACAGCTCAAAAAAGAATTTTAAGAATATTGTTAATCTTGGGAAAATATGGTATCCTGTTCTTTCAAAAAGAAAAATAAATAAGAGCTCTGTGTATAATCAAATCTCTCAAAAGAAGAAAAAAAGAAAAAAACAACAAGAAGAAAATAATGTATACCTCCATCAAGAGATCAAATTTTTCATTCATCTATTTCAATTTAAAAATAACAAAACCAAGATTTGTACTTGACTTCTGGTTCAATTTAAATCTGAAACTATTCTGGATTAGAAGAATTATTGGATGCAGAAAAGGTCCAATCACACAAACCAAACTGTCAATGAAGGATGAACTGGCTGCATAGTGCCAGAAATTCAGTGAACAATACAGGTGGCTGCATAATGCCAATATATGATATTCAACATTGTCTTAACTCTAGCACAGTCCACCTGCTTCCCTTACAAGAATAGGGGGTATTTTAAGTGGTATTTTTAACCAGCTGACTAATTGGATTATAAAGAAAATCATGACACTGAAGTTAGATGAATGCCAATAGAAAGTCAGAGGCTGTAATAAAGTTAGGTCTCAGCAACTGCTAGAAATTGTATCTCTGCATTGCACTACTTCTGCAAGAGAATACTGGTTGGCCTCAAGTCTTATAATGCTGACTACCAGGTAGGAACACAAAGAGTTTGTTTCTCTTCTTGGCTCTACCACTGGCTTACACAATGGCTGTGGCCAAACCTCTTTCCACACCTCAACTTTTCACTGGGATAAAGAAATACTCTCTTAGAATGAAAACTGATGAGAATGGGTATGTAACTGTTATATTATTCATTTATCCACTGCAAGATGTTCCTTTCTGTGTTTATATCCATCTCTTCTACAGATCTCCTGCCTTCACAACAGACATGAGTGCTAGAAGCAAGTAACTGACTTTTTCCATACATCCTTATGGACTGGCCCATATCACAGCTGATAAATATTAAAAAGACACATAATGACTTGAAATATGCCTACCAAAAGCCTAACTCAAGTAGTATGTGCCTAGACCTAGTGACTGTTCAAAATCAACAAGGAAAAGACAAGGCTTGCAGTAAAGTTTACTCTCCACCACAGTTTTTCACTGTACATAATTGTCCTTAAATCCCCCTGTGTGTAAACTCTCTACCAACTCTTCTCCCCATGCCACACTTAGGGCTGAAAAAGACTCTGCCATACTCAGAATCCAGTTTTAACCTCAAGCCTAGAGGTGACAATTAGCTGGTCTGCCTCTGACTGCGAGTCCCATGCTGCAGGATCCTGTCTGCTACTGATCTACATGCTGCAGGATCCTGAGTTTCATTCAGTTTCTGCCTGGCCATAAACACCTGAACCCTCTGCTAACTCTAGAGGTTACTTTCTTTGCCAGAGCATTCGGGTTTTGCAAGACTTGTCTTGGCTGCTTACTGAACTGAACACAATGTGATCTGCCACCAGTTACTCTACCTACTCAGGCCTCTTGAAAAAGATTTTTAAAACATGTAAATAGACAGCATGTTCTTTGCAATATTGGTGATGATGATGATTAGTAGTAGTAGTAATGTGGAATGAAGATTTGAAGTAGTTGTTTTTAAACTGGGCACTACAGACTGCCAAGTCTGTAGGAAAAACACCCAGAAATACAAGATACAGCAGATATTTCCAGCTTGCACTTAAACTTAGGCAGATTAAAGCACTGAAGAACATTGTGCTTGTGTTAAAACATAATGAGGTAACTACAAAGACCAGAAAATAAACAAACAAATAAAATGCAGGCACATATTTAGTAAACTCAAGCATTCCAAAATTACTCTACATCCTTATTAAACTGCAGAAAAAATTTAGTAATAACCACCATAGCTGAATGATTAACCCTACCAAAATATCAAAGGAAAATAGCTGTCAAAAGTGTAAATTAAATCACTTAAATTGAACAGAAAATTATTTCCTATTTTCTACAGGTTATGATTTGGAGTGATCCTAAACCTCTGGAAAAGAATTTTCCAATTTTCAAAAATTCTGAAGCCCAATTACAAGTAATTATAGCTTTTCAATTTCAACATGATGAAATAATTTGATTCTTTTTACAAGAGGTCTGGTTTAGCTCAAAATAGACAAGTGCTTCTGCAATGAGTTAGTACACAAAGACAATAAAGATCATTCTCAAAAGAAAATCAGGGATACGTGTTGGCTATAAATCATAAATGGAGCATTCAGGCAAAAATAGTTTGTGTGTTCTATAAATGCCAGCTATTTCCATTGCACATGAGTGAGATAAAGTAAACAGACCACTGACAGTTTTGGTTTTCAAATACAAAATGGGTAAGATTTGAAAGAAGAAAAAGAAAACGTATGGCATAATCACTACTGTTAGATCTAGTCTTAAAGTATAATTTGGAGGAATAGAGTACATGAACACAAGTTTTTCTATATTCTCAATCTAAAAGAAAAGCAAACTGGGACCATACAGCATTAAATTAAAGCTAAATATTTATTTCAAATTTCTTGTTCCCAGGTCTACTTTCTTACTCTCCATCCAAGAATTACCACTTTTTTCTTACTCTTTGCTATATTACCATTCACTAAATTAGGAATTCCATTTCAGTAAAGCTCCTAAAACCTTTCACACAAATACAAAATATGAAGCTCCATCAACTCCAAGACATTGCAGCGTAGTTCATTTCCATAAAGTTCAATATACTTTGCAAAAGGCCTATTGCAAGTGAAAACACTCCTAAAATAACTGATACATTTGAATAGAATTATACCACTCTATAGTGTAGTTGAAGCTGGACTTTGCTAGACCACCTTGTAAATAATAAGTGCTGTAATAAACCTTTATAGCTTAAGGACAAAGGTTTGCATCAGTCCTCTAAATTATAACCAAACTTGATATAACACCCATATCCCATAGCAAAAGGAAATATCCTGTAGAGAGTATCATCTAAATGTAATTAGCAAACGGAAGTAAACCTCAGTCTTTTAAGCAGAAAGCTACCATCTATTCTGCAGGCAGAAAAATCTGGACACAAAAGTTCTTAAACTCCTATGCAAGACTGGGGAAGAAAGCTCACCAGCCAGGCTCTGATTTCCAGGGTTCCTGCCCTCCCCTGGTTTGTTTGAAGGTTACCTGTTTACTATGTTACCCTTCAGAAACAAGGAAATTAACAAACTGTGCAAAAACCACTTGCTGGAACAAAAGCAGAAACTGATACAAAAATACTAGCAGCGACTAAAAAAAAAAGCCTATGCCATGTTTGTAACATTAGAAGTGTTAATAGTATTATTAGGTTTAATTCTTTTGCATAAGAAAATAAATCTTCTTTTTGCCTAGTACTACAAATTGGTTAGTGTGTATATAGTGGGTTATAAAGAGACTAGTATAAAATTAAGAACTATTTCTGCCATGTATGAAAGCACCTGGTTACTATTAAGTTTTCACAAAGAAAATTAGTAGATTGAGCATTGACATATTCAATAAATGCAGGTTTCTCTTGTAGTCAGTTTTCTGGCAGTGAAGCAAATCTTAAAAGACTATTAAAAAAAGTGTCAGCCAAAGGGGAAAAAAAACAACCAAACACCAAACAACTGGTTAACTTGTAATAACGATATTTTTAAAATATATATAAATATAGGCAGCAGCAAAAAGCTAAAATTTGAATTTACAGATTGTTTTTAAAGGCTTTTAATTCTGTCTCAGCTGTTGGAACTGGTGTGTGGATGCAGTAATTTAACCAACAGCAGATACAGGGAAAGATAAAGCAGAAAAAGCCAAGCACACTAACACCAGAAAACTGACATCTACAGCCAGTCCTCCCACACCCTCAGGTAAATATGCTGCTGAAAGCTAGGCAGGATTTACTCATGTTATGGAATATTATATAATTCCATAGTGCATTTTATTTGAATGTACATTTTTTAATATCATCCTCCAAAACAGCAGACAAAAAAGCTCATTTTATATTTCACATGCCAGGTATGGGGGATTTTTTTCTTTGTGTTTCTCGCCTGTTTCAGAAGACCAGATAGGACACTACATCACAGGAGCTACACATCCTTATCTGGATTGGAAGGTAAAAACAGTGGGACATTTGGCTGAAGGTTAAAGTAGTTTTGAGACTGCACTCACAAATACTGCCCGCAGAATATGTTGGGTTTTGGTTGGAGGTTTTTCCGTGTGTAATACTCGACAACATGGAATAAAATCTAAGCAAAAGGGATTTTTTTTTCTTTACTTTCCTTTTTCTAATACCTTTATTAATGTTTTCTTTACTTTCCTTTTTCTAATACCTTTATTAATGTTTGCTTCGTTCCAGGCAGCTGATGCAATTAAAACCTGAATTCGATTTTGAACTGTGTACTATTTTCTCCAGCTTCTAACAGGAAAGAATATGTTCCAACATCCCTGGGTTACCTCATCTAGCAAGACTCAGTCAATGTGAACTGAAAGTGTGAGTAACAAAACAGGAGGCACTTACCCTACATATAAAACTAAAATTATTCTTAGTGAATTATAAGCAAATCAAGATAAATTGTTAACATTAGGACATTAATACATGATGGTTTTAAATACGCCAAGTACATTTCCTGCGTGCAAGGCCTCCCATTCACTGTGTGACCCTTGGGACGGGCAATGGATCAGAGGATGGCTGAGGGGTGCAAAGATGAGGGTAACTGGAGTGGGTTGTGAGCCACAGCAAATCACAAGGCAAAGTTAAGGTGTCCCCAGGCTCTGAGGTGCCTCAAAGGCTCCCTTTAGCACCTTCTCAAAATGAAAAGGTGATCATTACAAACCTTCCGTCTACGTAAGTTCAGATCACAAACTAAATACCACTGCCAGTCTGCTGGAGACCACACAGGTCGTGGAAATTCATCTTGCCAATTGTATTATTTTATTGACATTAACCAATATTTAGAAAACAACCAAATAAGGATAATTACAGACTAACACTATCAAGATATCTTTTTCACAGAAAAAATATGACCGCCTCGAGTTTTATTTGCTCCATTACACAGGCACACTATCAGCTTAGAATTTTATAAATTCACTATCTTCCCTCATAAAATTTTGGATGTAGCAACACAGAAGACATCCAATCCAACCTGTTCAAATAACACATCAAAACACAAAAGGTGTCCAGGGCCCAACAGGTCACTGTTTATATCTCCAGAGAGGATGAAAGGTTATTTGAAATTATTAAGCAAGAACTACATTCTTTAAAGGAACTTCTACAACCATCTATGCACTGGGCCGGGATGTGAGAGAAGAAAATTTAAATGTGCTTTGACTTTACAATTATCTTTGCCTTCTACTGACCTAGTTTAAGAAATGGTTTTACATAGTTTTATCTTCACTGAGAAGCAGACATAAATAAATTATCCATCTCAATTTTGTTGGCATTTTGTTGACTTATGTATGAGATGATGAGATTTGCAATGATACACTCACTGCTCTCTAGCATCTTGGGACAAGTGTTCTTCCAACTGTCTGAATGTCACATGGAGCACAGGGAGGGATCTACTCTGTGCAAATGTGTATCTGTATCTTCAAGGGACATGGTTCTGAGTTGTCAGTATATAAATGGTACTGTAATCTAGATGTTCTTTGTTCAAAGTGCAGTCTTTTTAAGTGACTAGCAGCAGCAAGAAAGTCAATAGGAACAAAATATCCTGAAATCAATTCCAATAATGCGAACGAAATACTCCCAAGGGACAACCACCAAATCATATAAAAAGTTTAGGAGAACTGTGATAACACACTTATTCTTTCGACCTGTCTAAACTGGGATTATATTTTAGGAAAAAAAAACCAAATGAAAACAAAAAAAAAAAAGTAGGTATTTTGAGACAAATAAGTTAGCATTTCTACGACCATGTTTTCAGTGAGATGCAAATGCCCAGAGTCAAACACACTGCATTGACTTGGGTTGTGACACTGCATTTCTACTGCACTCTGACATCCACATTCAGAAGTCATCCATTGATTTATTACTGGTTTTTTTCCACAGGGATCTATGCAAATACAGTACACTCCACTTGAGTGGAGCAACTTGTATCACTGAACATTATTCTGGAAATAAAATTAAATCTGCTACTGCCCAAAATCTTAGAAGCAAATTCTCCCAAATGTAAAAGATCAATGACATTGGAATCTCAAGGCTCATTACAATGGCTTTGTAATTAGCCTGCAAAAACCTCTCAGAAACTCTAAGTTGAATATTGTGCAGCTGAGTTTCTCTTCTATGAGGCAAATCCCTGAAACGAACAAATTAGTCACAAGGCCCTTAAGGCAGAAAAGTAAGGAAAGCTTCAGTTCTCTCCAACTCTTAACACGAGGGACTTCCAAAGAAATTTAAACATTATAAATAGGCAATACTCTATCATACAATTCATAATTAGACAGTGGAACTAACTGCTGCAAAATATCATTAAGGCTGAGGACTTAGCAAGGCTGGAAAAAGGATTAGACATTTATATGGTGTAACAAAAATATCCAGAGTTCTAATAATTTTCCAAGATCTATTAAATATCATGTTACAGAGTATAACCCAAACTCTAATCAAAGAACATGCAGTTTAGAATCATCACAGAACCACAGAACAGCTTGGGTTAGGAAGAAACCTTAAAGCTCAGCTCATTTCACCCCTATCCATGGACCTTCCACTAGACCAGGTTGCTCAGAGCCCCATCCAACCTGGCCTTGGAATAGTTGCAGAGATGGTGCATCCACAACTTCTCTGGGTTTCAGTGCATCATCTCCCTGAGAAAAGAATTTCTTCCTGACATCTAATCTAAACCTGCCTCTTTCAGTTTAAAATCAAGCTTCTTGCATCCTCCTCTGAAACCTCCACTGTTGATCACTGGGTTGACCACATAGGATGGGTTAAGAAATCCAGTCTGCCATGGCAATTCCTTTGCAGTTTTAAACAAAATAAGCAAGTTGATCTGCAGTCTTTGACAGAAAGCAGCTAATGATCACATTGTGTGCAGTCATAAGGATCTGGGAACTGAGGGGAATGGGAAGCCAAAGTTATAAAAAGTGGACTGCATTTACAAGTTTAGGTGGCAACACTACATTGTTCAATAGAATGGAAAACACAAGAAAAAAAAATAGGAGTGTCTTTGGCTGTTGTGTTATAAGCCTCTTTAAAAAATTAAAAATAAAGAAACCAAATCCATTAATAGTCAAACATGCAAGGGTAAAATACAATTGACCTCAGACTGAGAAGACTGTTTAAGTTGAAAAGTTTTTTCTGGCACCACTTCTTCGCTCTTTTCTCCTCTGTGGGCAGCCCTGTCATATCAGTTCCTCCTTTCACAATGTAAACTATCCTTGCTTCTCCCCGTCTCTGTGGATGTTCTAACTCTCAGAAGGATGTTCTAACTCTCTAAATGTGGCCCTCTTTGTGTTTTTCAGATGCCTTACCAACTTCACAAGAGCTAGGCTGCGAGGGGCCCAAGATTGTCACTTCACAGAGCAGCCAGGTACCAGTGGCTGCAGAAGGCAAAACTCTACAGTAGGAGTGGGGTAGAAAAAAAATCAAAAGAGAATCTCACTGTAGTCCAGATAACATAAAGCATCAGTCCACTCTTAAAAACACCAGGTCAAAAGGCATGAAAAGAAGATGTGCAATTAAAAATGCATAATTCCAAATCCATAAACACTAATCTCTGTGTGTTAATAAGCCTATATGTAAAATATGAGATAAGGGTCTAATAAATGAAAAAACCACTACATTGATAGTTCCTATAAAACACGGGTCAAAAGACTGACTTTGCATGTAAATATTTGAACTACATACTGTAAGTAACATTTCAGCCTCTGCATGCAATTATTAAATATTAAGTAAATAGCTATGGATCATATGTACAAAGGTGAATGCAAAATGCAGCAATATTTAAATTAAGATCAAAACAAAAACAGCCCTTTGGTGTTCTGGTTTTCTTCTTCAGAGTGTGGTGGATAATAAATATCCAAGAGCTTTCCAAGGCCTCCGAACAGATTGGATCCGTTTCTTTATGTTTCCTTTTGTAATCCTGTCACAGAAGCAACGTATCAAAAGATACAACCTGCAATTTGGCGGCAAAGAGAAACACTGCACCTCCCTCCAGTCCTTGAAGATCTCTTTTTTTTACCCCCCAAAAAAAAGCAGAAAGGCAGATCTGATGACTTGTACTGCAGTGTTCAAATCAAGAATTTTATTACCCAATTCACCCTCCTCTACACTGAGAGCTTGGACTAATCCTGCAGGTCAGATACAGCAAGTAAACCACAGCATTTTCTCAAAATATTTTGAGAAAACAAAAGAAGAGAAAAACCAAAAACAAAACCAAACAACCAACTCAGACAGGCCAACTAAGGCACTGTTTGAAAAGAAAAAGCTTGTTTGTATTTTTGTGTAGCTGAAGGTACTTGGTGGTTTTGGATTTCTTGGTAAGTAAGAAAGTCAAAAGTCCTTGAATGAACTAGTACAGTGTAAGTAACATTCAGAACATTCTTAGTTGCCCCTTTTTTTGCTCTACAAGTGATTATTTCATGAAATAATGCCAATAATTTTTTATAAACTGTAATGCAGTCTAAGAATAGGCCTCTATATAAATTGAACACTATAGTCACATATTTTGTGGGTAGATTAAGGATAAAACTGCTAGTTCCATGCTGTGCCAGATGAAAAGGAACTGTTTGAGTACTTTAGAGCATGCATATTTAGTAGGCTATCCAAATTATTTATAAAACTTTAGGGGAAAAAAATGACTATTTAAAGAAAATAGTACCATTCAGTGAATAAGGAACAAGAAGAAGAAATTCAGGTTTCATTCTCAGCTTTTCAGAGACTAAGAAAATCACTTCTTCCTGTACAGCTTCCATATCTACAAAATGAAGGCAAAATTTACTAATTTGCTAAAATGCTAAAGAAACTGTACATGGAACATTTTGACTTATGAACTGAAAGTTTTTGACATAGGTATTGTACAGATATGCTGAAATTCTGCAAAAATTCAAAATCTTGACAGTATGTTGAGCAGCATGGTATATTTATCACATTCTATATGTGTTAGCAACACATATATTGAGCTCCATCTCATCACATTTAGGAAAACCCCACGGAAATAAGGAGGGGAGCTGCATAAGTATGCAGAGCCACAGAAGATTGCCCTGCAGTCAGACAGATAGAGTTGACACAAAGCAAACCTAGTCTTTACTATCTTCAGCCATGCTTTAGACAGTCAGAGACACCCCAGTCATTGGAGAATGAAGCAGTGAGATGAAAGAGCTAAGTACCGAAGAAAAAGGCTGTAAAGTCTACAAAACAAAATGGGCATTTACTTTAGCATCAGAACATAAATAAGTAGTAATGTTTTAATAAATGATGTAGGTGTAGGGAGCCTCAGCAAGCAGCTCAGCAGCTCCATGTAATACCAGTACTGAGGTCTTCAGAGAGACTTGTCTACATGTTCTTACAGCACTGTGAAATGCAATTCACAATCCCTTTTGACAGCCTCAATTTAGACATACCCACCTTTACAGTAGGGACTGTACGCTACAAATAACTGTCACAACTTATTGAAGAGACCTCCTAGGAGAAACACAGAAGATATGCAAAAGAAATGAAGAACAAAGGTTTGCCCTAAAAAATGAAACTCATTACTAACTTTTCTAAAAGCAAGACACTATCTTTCAATGGACCTCAGTGGAAAGTCTCATTAACTCAGAAACTTGCCACTCAGAAATATTTCTACTGTTATTAATAATGAAAAAACACATTCAAAAAACACTATAAAGCCACAGTCCTGTAGCAAACCATTAACCAAGTATTAATTAACATAGTGAAAACCATAAATTTACATTTCAAGAAAGAATAAATATAAACTGATAGATAGTATCAGATTTTACAATGAAAGCAGGAATATTCCTACTGTTATCTATTAATCCAGAAGTTATTTCCCAGCTCTTACAGTTGTGCAGAAAAGGATGCTGCTTCTTCTCTGTAGATCTAAGACACCTTGGATATCACTGGAGTTGGAGCTACAGACCTTCACACTGATGAGCGTAGAAGCATAGAAGAGAGCCAGCACTCTTGTTTACTAGAACAGTTCTTACCAATTCTTACTATTTTCTCTATTTGAATAACTGTCCATAGGGCTCTTTATCTGCTTCACAATCTGCCCAGAATATCTTTCTCCTCCAGCAAGCTGACACCTGCTCTTCATTCTAACTGCAGGATAGATGCAGCAGTTCTTAATTTCTAATTCAATGTTAAAATAGTTGAACTTTTCTCAATTAGGCTGGGAAAGGAGAAACACAAGAAAGGAGAATATTTTCTCTACCAAGTATTATCAAGATGTCTAGATAACAGAATACCTTATCAGAAAAATACTATGAAGTAAGTAAAATTACATTAGAACCAAAGACAATAGAAACAGGAATGGATTGGTCCTCCCATTTTCTAGAGGATAGATGAAGAACACAATTCAAGCCTTTCCACTCTTGGAACTAGCAGACATAGCTAGAACACATGGAAAAGGGAATTGGATAGAGGGGTAAGTAGGAAATATCTCTGCAGCTCAGTGCACTGGGAGCAGTGCAGTCCTGTTTTCCGGGGCACACTTATGCATCTTCAAGAAGAGTTCAGCTCCAACTTCTCCATACTCCGCATTTGGTGGTTGCAGAGAGTCCTCTCTTCTTCAAGCTTAACAAGTCCAGCTCCCTCAGCTTCTCCTTTCACATCACTCAGGAAGCCTGAGGCTTGCTTGGGACTGCCAAACTCACTATGACTCTTAAATTCCTTCCTGCACTGTGAACTCCAGTGATGGACACAATAGTCCAGATGTGATCTCAAATGACAGCCAGAGGGTAAGAATCACTATCCACAATCTGATGGCTATGCTCTTGCCAACACAGCCCAGCATACAAACAGCCCTCTTTGTTGTAAGGGCACACTGCAATCTTTGACCTGTCTTCAACCAGAAGCACAAGGCCTTTTCTGTAAAGCTGATTTCCAGCAAGTCTGTGGGATCTCAGCACCTCAGGACTGAGGTGCCGAGTCACCGAGACCACCCTTGGGGGGCTCAGGAGTCCTGGAATGTTGCCAGAAGTGTCTGGTGGCTGGACTTTGATCCTACACAGGAGACAACACCTGTATGAGGATAGGAGGATTTCACCGGGGTGAATGGTGAAGGGATTAGTTAATTAGAGGGTGAGACACAGGGTTTAGGATTTCTGTACAGAGGGGTTTAGAGAAGTAAGATGGAGGAATTGGGGCGTGTCCTGTCCTTCTTCTTCTTCTTCTTCTCCTCCATCTTCTGTGGTGATGGTGGCACTTTGGGATTGGTCATTACTAAAAGTGCACCGGGCAATAAGGGTAAAAGGTATTGGGGAAAAATGATAAATATTGTATACGCAACTTTGGGTATAAAGATAGGTGACCGCCCCGGAGGGGGGACAGTGTGCTCATGGCTGGCTGCTGAGCAGACCTCTGTCGGGCCGAAAAAAAATCTTTTAGATAAACAATTAATAAACACAGAGACCGAAAAAAGAACTGAAGCCTCTTCTCGTCCTTTGATACGCGGGCTGCCCCAAGGCCACTCCGGGCCTTTCCAGGCCCTCCAAACAGCCAAAAACCGGACACAAGTCAGAGCCCACACAGTCCTGCCGTGTGAGTTTATTTCATCCTAAACACGGAATTCTGCATTTGCCTCGCTTCATAAGGTTCCTATCAGCTCACTTGTCCATCCTGAGTAGGTCCCACTCAAAGGCAGCCCAGCCCTCCAGTGTACTGACTGCCCCAACAAAGTTGGTGTCATCCATGGACTTGCTAAGAATGCAACAAATCCATCTGCTAAATTAACAGTGAAACAGAGAAATCTAAAAAGCACTATAATCTAGAATGGCCATCTCCACCCTATTGCAGAAGAAGGAACACACAATGGCATTTTTAACAGAATAAGAGTCTATCAGTCCCAAGTATTTGCTGCATCCCTATAAAACAGCCTACTAGTTCTATATACCAAACTTGACAGAAGGACTGACTTCACATGGATATCTTCTACATAGCCATGTAAAGTGAAGTCAGAGATGGTTTAAGATAATATGATGGATTGTAAACAACTGCAGTCCAGGAGCTGAGGGGATAAGTTTGCTTCCACCAATTTACTGATCAAAACTGCTTAAAATTGCCAGAGCTTATTTGCCAATACCTCAAGAAAAAAAACTACCAACAAGCTGTTCCTGCAAGAAGCATCTTTCAATGTGAATATCCATCTGGCAAAACACATTGCTGTTAATGTTCAGGAGAGTTTGTTAGAATTTCTTACAGATCCTAACCCTCTTTGACTGTCTTTGACTTTTGATTTACCTCAATAAGAGAATAACAAGGTATTTTTGCCCTTAATAGGAACTGAACTGAATCTGAATCCTGAATTTCTCTTTTAGAAAATGATATGGCCTTAAGAAGTGGAAAGATTTAAAGATGTTATGCCTCCAAGAACTCTATGTTCATACTGAGACAAGAAACATCAGTGAGCCACACAAAATAGATTTTAATGCCAAATCAATCTCACCAAGAGTGATGCAAAGAGAGTTGCATGACCAATGCATTTTCTTTGGAATTATTCCAACAGAGGAAACAAGAGGAAAGTGAAAAAGCCAATTTCTACCCACAAGATTTTTCCAGCCATCTCCTACAAGATATTTCTCTACATAGAAACAAATCCAGCCTACGGCACTACAACAAGCGACAGTCAACTGGAATTGCAGAGGGGGGCTGTTTTTAAAATGCCAAAGATGAGCTATCAAGCCTAGTAGCTAGAGATTGACTGAAGAAAAATGTCCACGTTTCTGATCAATACTGCTTGCAAATTCTGTGTTTGATTGACAAGAAGAAGGGGAAGGCAAGGGAGGACAGCCCATGGTCTCAAGTTCCCGAGGGAGGGGAACAACAGCTTAGTTACACATCTGTAATCAGTCACTGTGGGGAGAGAGGGTGAAGGCCGTGGTATCCAGCTTGCCTGCCTTCCAGCACACAATAGCTGTCTCAGTTTGAAGGCTGTTTGTCTGGGGACCCCACAGTCAACAGCAAGACCTGGCTTCTCTGATCCATTCTCTGCCCATGACTAAAAGAAGCTCTTGCTCTGTCCTACCTTTGGAAAGGATCCACATTTCTCCCCTGGCTTTGTATTATGCCTTTAGTGCCTAATTGAAATACTTTAGGCATAGGATTAAAGATAACAGACACAAATAATTTTCTCTTTGCTGCTTCTGCTGGAAAATCTATATTGGGCACCTGAGTGGGGAGAAAAAGGCAATAGGACAAAGAGATTACAGTAATATGATCAAGAAACAAAAGGATCACCAAATACCAGATAGATGTTTAAAATCCAAAACCCTGAATGGACCTGGAGGCAAGCCACCAGTCCCTCCAAGAGAGTGGTGGTGAGTCACCAAAAGGCTTATATTCCTTCTGCCTACATTCTACGTGCATCTCCTTTTCCTAATTTCTGGCTAAATATCTTCTGCTGCCTGTAATGAGTACAGTTTCTGTTCCTGTGAAGCACAAACACTTCTTAGACTAGGCTATCAGCAACCCCTAACAGGCAGATATCTCAGCATCTGGAAGACTGTGCTTTTAAAGATCTGACAAGGAATAATATCTGAACTTAGGTGGTAATTAAACTGTCTGAGCAATGCTAAGAACAGATACATTATCTTTTAATATCAGAAATGAAGCACTATTAGAGAACACAAAAGCACCTCTCCACACAGGAAATATACAAAATGGATCCTTCTCTTGCTGCTGGGAGCTCCAGAGATATTCACATGTTTGATCACATATTTGACATCACACTATTGCTCCTACTGACTACTGCCAGCTTTCCTGGGCAATCATGCTTGTATAAATTCAAATCTCTCATGCAACTTTAAATGACTTTCTGAAAAAAATACTGCTATTGGCCATTTGTTATATAATGATTCATGGTAATATTTTCTGAATGCTACATTGAGTGTCTAGTCTGGGGAGATGGTAGGGAAGAAAAACCAAGAGACTTAAAACTGCACTAAGTAGAATACTGTGCTAATTGGGGGGTGGGGGTGGGGGGAAGGGAGAAAAAGGGCAAAAGCAGAGCAAAAAGAAGCTCAAAAGAAGTCCCAAGAAATCCACCAAATTAAGAAGTTACATTTTATATTCTGTGTTTTAAGAGATTACAGGGTTACAGGTTACAACAAAGAATCAAAATCATCTGTAGAACCATCATTTTCTGTCCCATGCAGTATTTTCATGATTAGTGAACATAAAACATTTAAGACAGAAATTTAGAAAGCTATACAAGAAATACAAATATATTTGAGAGGAACAGAGACCAAATAATTAGACTCTTTGAAATACCCAGTAACGTCATAAAAGTAGACGGATACTGTAAATGCTAGCTCTGTAACTGATGCTCAAAATGTTTCAATGTCTGATATTACACTATTTGTATATTTTCTTGCTGCCAATTTAATTCTCAACTGTATGTGAATCAGAGATCACACCTCCATATCTGCTGAGGCAAGGAGCTTTGG